CTCATCTTTTGTCGCATCCAGTACTCCACCCTGTTCGACAATTGAACAAGTAGAACCCGATTTTTCACTCGAACTTGTGGTCAACACTTGGTGAGATGTTTTCACTAGCGTTTCCACAGCACCATTACAGAGAGAAACCAAAACGTCCTTCACATTGTTTTGATGCTTTGGATTTGTCAAGCCAGTGAAAAGTTCATCATAAGAATTGATCTTCAACGTCTTATCCAGATAAACAGTAACCGCCGAGCTCACAAACTTCTGTATGCAATCAGCAATGAGCTCCCTACACCGATCATCACAAACCAGACCAACCCATCCAGGCACATCTGACAAACTCGACCCCATTTGACCTCCACCACTCGAATAAAACCCCAAAACCAAATTCCTCGCAAAACTACCAACCACAACAGAAACAAACCCAGCTCCTTCATTGGAAAACAACCTCTCCATCACCTTATCAGAAAAATTCACATTCCCAGAACCTAACCCTACCGTGTTACCATTTCCAGACTCCAAATTATACCCTCGCAAAACTCCAACGGTCAAAGCCTGAGTAACCCTCATCAAAGACTCAGAAAACTCATCCGATTTCGCAATCTTGGAAATTTGCTTTAAACTATTAGGGATTTTATCCGAATCAGATTGTAAAAACTCCTTCAAATCCTTGGAGACAATACTAATGGTCTCCGTGGAATCAGAAACCATTTCGGCAATAGAAATCAAAGCCCCCATTAGTTTAATGAATCTCCTCCTTTTCCTTACCACAGCAGGCAAATTATAGAACTTGTAAAACCCATAGCCAGATACACCAAAAACAGCTAGAAGAATTAACAATTTCTTTTTCCTCCTAGAAAAGTGGAAACCACTTTTCACCAATTCAAGGTCCATCGCTTCCGCAAAAGGGAACCCGAGGGCTTGAATTGTGAAACAGGGGAGAGGATAATGAGCCCAGAGATACAGACAGAGATGGTAGTTTATATAACTGAAGAATCTAGGGTTTGTTTTGGTCTCTTATTAATGTTGTTAAGCGTTGCTGGGGATGTTTTGCCATTGGTAGTTGAATCAGTAAAGGATGAGTAAATAAAACCGTACGAAAATGGATGAAGTTAGTTGCACATAAAAAATTGAGACAGCTGAACTGAAGAAATTAATAAAGGAGTTGTTTATAATTACGCTAATAATTATTTTCAAGTATTTATTAAAATAATATTTCTTTATTTTTTAAAATTTATTTTTGATATATTTTTATTAAAATGAAATTGTTTTATTTTTATTTTTTCTTGATAATGACCTATATAATTTTTTTTTTAAATTATTTAGTTTACTAATTATTAATAACTTGATCAAATTATTTGTAATTTACAAATCAATATTTAATTAAAATTTTAACTTGGATTTAATTTGAATTATGAACTTAATTTGGCAAGCAAAATAAATTTAACAAAACTAAAAAATAGAACTCGTGTTTAATATTATAATAATATTTTAAATAATAAGTTTTTGAAAAATTATAAATTATGGTTTTTTTATGATAAATATTTCAAGAAAAAGTTTTAAATGAAAGTAATGCAAAACCAAATAATTTTAAAATTATAATTAAATTAAAACATAATTTTAATTATATCTCATCACGCTACCGTGTTCCAAGGAACCTGGATTTGATGACACGGGTGAGGGGAGAGAGAGGGCAAGTGTGGCAACAGAACAGACAAAAAAGGGGTAGATGTAATGGGAGCTGATTGGCTGGTTAGGATGGACTTTGAATCTGTGGAGGATTTTTTTTTAATTCCTTTTCTTTTGTGGAGTCGTGGGAGGTGCTCATTGATGTACAAGTTTCAGGTTAAAGAAATGATTTGCCACGCTGTCAGATCCTATGGTGCATCAGGCTATCAAATGGGATCAATCGCGTTTGCAAGATTAAAGAAAATAAAATAGAGAAAAAGTATTGGGTTTGGACTGTTGACTTTGGACGATTTCCACGGCAAATTTATTATTATGAAGCCATCACACCGTGGTGGTTGTTGATGTGTTTTCAATAGGATTTATACTCCCAACAACCACCTCCTTTATTTTTCTGTACCTTTTATGATTAATAAATGTTTTATAAAACATAATTTTACGTGAGAGAGATAGTTTTTTGTTTTTTAATGTTTTTTAAGAAAGTTTTTTCATTCAAAGAAATTGATATTTTTTTAGTTTTTTTTCAATAATTTTAATGTATTCATATTAAAAAATAAAAAATAATTATTTTTATATATTTTCATATAAAAAAACTCTACATCACACATAAAAAAACTCTACATCACATTACTAGGTATACAATTAGTGAGTTATAAAATTTAGTTTGAGTAGGATTTTATTTTGGATTGATTATTTTTTTTATTAAAATGATATTGTTTTGGGCATTTAAAAAAATTAATTGATTATTTTTTTATTAAAAGTTATAGTTTTTATTTTTTTAAAAAAAAATCATAAATTGGATCTATTTGTTAGTTAACAAGTCAATTCACTCAACATAGCAACTCCTAGTTAGTTTTTGCTAGTTGTCTAATCAGGACTTTGCCGCTAATTGTAAATTTATTTTAAAAAGCATTGGGTATGCAGGTTGCTTTCATGTGTTTTATTACATAAAAAAATTCAAAATATAAATCAAAAGGTTTATGCAAGAATCTAATTAAATAATCGATAATCATTTATGTAAAAATAATTTTAAAAAATTATTAATAATAATTAAAAAAATAAAAGATGGATGTCAATCAAAATATTTAAACATTAACTTGATTTTATTTGCTGAATTTGTTTATTTAAATTAATAAAAAATGAGTTTATACTTTAAAAAATTCATGATTTAAAAGATAAATACAAATGAAACTAACTAAATAAACTTATATCCTAAAAACATATTATACAAGGCCAAACACATTAACAATATTATTTAAAAATAAATATTTTTTTATTTTAAAAAATAAAGCTCATATGTCCAAAACAAGAAAAAAAAAATAATTAGAATAGTATCCTAGGAAATTAAACACAAACAAAGCAATTAAAAAAATGCATGCAAGGACCATGACCTAAACCACGCAAAAATCATACAAAGTCGAATTCCCAACAAATGATTAAATATCAAAAGATGAAACTAAAAAAAAAAAAATTAATTATACAAAAAAAAGTGAAAGTAATAACTAAATAGACCGGTAATTAGAGGGCGAATAAATTTTTTTAATTAAAGATTGAATTAGATTGAAAAATAGCTTTAACAAAAAAAATAAGGGTCAAACTAAAAAAAATAAAAAAATAAAAACTTTTGATTGAAAGATGAAATTAAAATTAAAAAAACTTCATTAAAAGGGTCAAGGAAAAAATAAAAAATAAAAAAATAAGGATCAAAATCAAAAATAAAAAAATATAAGAAAATATAATTGAAGGACTAATTTGAAAAACAAAGACTTCTATAAAAGGAATAAGAACAAAATAAAAAACTAAAGAATGAGGATCAAAATAAAAAAATAAAACATGAGAAATCATAATTAAAGAATTAAATTGAAAACAAAAAAATTTTTATAAAAAAATGACAACAAAATGACAAATTAAAAGAATAAAAACAAAAATTTTAAACAAAAAATAAAAAAGGACAATTATGTATTTAATCATTTGAGAGAAAGAACAAAAAAAAAAAACATATGGCCACTAGCAATAATATGACTACCACGTATTATCACGGGTTAAATTATGTTGATGAGAACATATTAACGCATCTAAAGAGATGTTGAAGCACTAAATTTTATCATTGAATGATGTTACACTTGCTGTCTAAAAGATATAAATAACATATACTTGTTAGTGCATGTTATACACACTATTATGTTTTATAATTTAAATATTTAAAAGACAACATGAAAATACCAACATCTCCAATAACTATTTTGATAGATAACATGAAAATATCAACACCTTCAATAACCCTGGTGATTTTAAAAATGACGTATTTTCAATTTGCATAAATGATGGAAAAACTAAAACAACCATTGTACAGCAACTTAGATATTTTTTTTTTATTCTAGAAGCAAAGAAGTATTTTTATTCTTAAAAAAATAATAAAAATCAAGAAAGCACTCGGTCACCAACTTTATATTTTATTGATTTTGTAGATAAAAACATATTTGTACTTTTAAAAAAATAGAAAAGACACCATCATTCCCGAATAATATTTCAATCACCCTGCCCCCCAGACTTAATTTTTTTTCATTCTGGCTACGTTGAAACTCCCACGCACTTTAGAGTTTCTGTTGATAGTTATATTGAATGGGAATTTTTCCACATTTATTTATTCGGGTATAGCATATAATTCTATGAATATGAGGAACTTTGTCAATTAACTTGTAGTTGGAGAAGTGACGTATTTAATCATGTCATCCATTTCTAGGATTTCTCAAATTCAACCTTCTTCCTTGTAGCGAAAAAGAAATCAATAGGAATTCTACAACAAATTGCAAATTCTTCGATTAAATTTCAAAAACGTTCGAAAGTGCTAACCACCAACTCTTATGTTTTTGGTTTTTTAGTTGTAGCATTGCCTTTGGTAAACGATTGACATTAAAGAACAATTAAACCATAATGTGATTTCATATTAGATCAGAACGCAGGCCGAAGGATGGAGTCTCTCCGAGCGTGCGTGCGTGTTTTTCATCATAAAAAATTATAGCTCGAACTGTTTATATTACATTGGAAATGGAAGGGGGAAATGGGCCGATTTCATCAACAACAAGCATTCTTTTCCATTGCTGAGTCATTTTAAGGTTATAAAACGATATGTTTACAATCATCTCAAAATCAATCAACAAATCATTTCTCTCTATAAAACCTGATTCAAACAACCATCATGTACAGAAAGAGCACCAAACAAGAAGCATCATAGAAGCCCTCCCACCCCCCTCCCCTATACGGTTCACATATATGCAGTGAGTTGTCCATGTTCTCAGCCCTCGTGTTCATACCAGATGTCCATGTTCTCAGCCCTCGTGTTCATACCAACCAGATTACTTCACAGTTTCATCTAGAACCCAATCAGCAAAGCTTACGCCAAGCTGAAGCATGAAAATAGTTTCATGTTGTTTTAGTATCAGTACCTTCTGAAACTCTCTTAGATTTTACTGGTATGCTGCTGCTGGCATCATCTTCAAGATCGCTGAAAGAGAAGTCTTCTTCATTCCCCACAGGAATTATGGTCTTGTAACCACCCAAGTCAGAATCTTCCTCATTTAGCCAGTCATCCTCGTCCTCTTCATAGTTTGGAACAACTGTTCTCAAAGATGAACCAACCAGCTGCACATCCTTATCCTCAGTTTTTATCACTGTTTTCTCTTCAATAGCAGACTTATCAACAAAGTGCATCTCCGTACTCACAATTGGGTGCTTCACAGTCTCATAATCCGTTGTCGTGATAGAGGTCTGTGCAAAATCAAATGTCCTGGCACGCTCAAAATCTTCATGCAGAGCATTATCACCATCTTTTACACGGGCACTTCCAAACCAGTCAGGATCTGGCTTGGTTTGCTTATGTAGCTCCTGCATCCACATTGCTCTAGCTTCCATTACCTGCAAGTAGTGGGTGTATGCTTGTAACTACAGCTGCTTGTGAATTTCAAATATCTCAGGACAACTATGCTGATGCCTAATGCCCATAGAATAACATCAATCATTAAATAAAAATGCAGCAACATTTCTCCACAGCTGCACAACGAAAACATTCCCTTTTATTAAAAAGCTATTGCAGCATATGGCAGCCTATCCAGTTTGATCTTCCCCATGTCATTTGCACGACCAAAAATTTAACCAATTACCAATCAAACCAATAAATCCCGAGAGCTTGATATGAAATGCACTATTAATTTACCAAAAAGAATAACATAATTTTCCTCTTACCTTTCCCTTGAGGAGAAAAGGTCATATGTTTTTCACTAGCTGTACTTCATAAATTCCCTGTCCCCTTCAAATACATATCTATACATATACTGGATACAACTGCCAGCATACCTATTCATCTCAAAATGTTGCTCCAACATACTACAGAAGATAACAATTTACTTCAAAAGTGTTCCCAAGACTCCACCCAGCTATACTTGGAAGAAACAATCACAGCTCACAAGTATCACCGATGTGTTTATTAATATATTCAAGCATACATTTCACTAGATTGAACCTTCAGTGCACCAAATTTATACCACCCAATGGAGACTCAATGATTGATCTTATTTGACGTGCTTGTAGATGAAGAAGAAACATTGTAGATACAATGGAGCAAAATATACAAGGATAGCATTTCTAAACACTGATATTCAACAGATTTCTATTTTGCAATAAGTAAAACCATGAAAACATAAATCGATCATCATTTTGTCAAATTCTCTCGTAAAAACATGAGACAAAAATTTGAAGAAAAGATTAATTTTTATTTTATTTTCAATAGAAGCAACTAGATTGGAGGTCATATATTATTCATTGATAAAGGATGAGCACGCAATAGGAAAAAAAACGTTTCACAAGGTCAACAAGTATGAAGTCATATTGATCCTACATATGGAGGAGTTGAGAAATATTTAAGTTGAGAAGTTTTCAATCAATTTGATTGAGTAGGAAAAAAATATTACCTGAGGCGTGGACAAAATTTCTGCATCATGCTTGTGGAGTCTAGAATGCAGAAGAACAAAGTAAACTTTCCAGAAGTAACTCTCAGTCATGTGGCAAGGGCAAAGTTCAATTCTGAGAGCAGCTAGTCTGGGAGCAAATCGTTCAATAGCCAAAGCATGCTCTCGTTGAGTATCAGACAAGTCAAAATCTAAAGAAGGAAAAAAAAGAAGACTATATTATAGATGTGCATGTAGCATAGATCACATAAGCAGAGATCAAGCAGACTATCACTAAATAAATATAAATCAAGTATAAACATATCAAAAGCAACAATTAAGCAAGCACACTTAAAGTGACAAGATGAAACTTAGCCACCAAGTCATGATTGAAACTTGTGAAAAACCATTCTAAATTAATTTGAGGCAATTGAACCACATATTCAATGTACACAATCATATTCGAACAGCAGAGTTCTTACTACAGAACCACTAATTCTGAGCCGTGCAATGTTTTGATATGATTCAAATTACAGACAATGCTAAAAAAGATGACAACAAAGCACTGCTTGCTTCGACATTCCATACAGCACAATCAAATACACAACCAGGCACATTTATTAACAAATTTTCCACACACAATTCAAATTACAGATAATGCTAAATAAGATGACAACCAAGCACTTCATGCTTCGAAGTTCCATACGGCAGAATTGAACACACAACCAAGCCCATTTGTTAGCTAATTCTCCACTTACCAAACAAATTCCATTACTATGTTTTCATTTTTAGCAAGAGCACGAATCGAATCCACACAAAAAGATATAAACCCATCTGTTCCATGCGCGAACTTTCAATTAGAACCTTCTCTTAGTGCCAAGAACTTACTTCTTACTGAGGCAATAATACATGTGCAATGCCACCTCTAATAAGAATCCAATCTAAGTCCATAGGGCATCACCATTTGCAGCACATTTAGCACAAGAGCATAGCATTGTGCAAAGAGACATAAATAATCCAATTAACAACTAGTAACGCTCCAATAATTAATCACAGAAACACAAAACAAATTAAAAAAATCAATTTAAATAAAAAAACACTGAAACCCACCATCTAAGTCCTCTTCTTCATCGAGAGGAAAATCCAACCAAGTTTCTGGATGCATAGCGATATTCCTCGCAAATGCCAAAACCTCATCGGTAATCCCTACCGCTCCTTCTAGCTCCCAATCGTCATCGTCATCATCCTCACCTCCAAAATCCTCCGTCTCCAATTCCTCCAAATTCTCTCCTCCAAGATTTTCTCTCCCATTTTCCTCCGATCGAAACGGAAAATAATTGGACGCCATTTTCGACATGTTCCTAAACCCTCCTCCGATCTCGGAAAAATCGTGCCCGATCCTCGAATCAAACGGCTCTCTTTCCTCACAAGATGATGCGGATCGATCGGGGGGCTGTGATTGGTCCAAATTAGAGACCGACTGATCCGGTGGAGGAGCGAGAAAAGAGGCAACACCCCAAAGTTGACGCGTTAGGGTTTGCTTCAATTCTGTAAGATCCTCCTTAACGCCTCTACGCTCTTCTTCTTCTTCTTCTTCTTCGACCTCCGATTCCTGCACTTGCGCTTCGTTGTTGATTCCATTTTCTCTTCGTCTTTCTTCTTCATTACGCTCTACTGGTGAGGAGTTGTTAGGAGTTTTAGATGCGACATCGTTTTCAGAATGGTCGTCTTCATCGTCGAGTCTAAGGGATGTAGCGATAGAGCGAGCCAGCCATGACATGGCTTTCGTTTGGGGAGGAGGGGAGAGGGGAGAGGGGTGAGAAAGTGATTGGTGGAAAGGTAAGGGGTCGTTTTAAAATTAAAAGTTCGGTTGGGGGGAATCTAGTGCTTCAATCGTTCTCTCTTACATCCAAATAGATTTTCCCACGACGGCAGGGAATTTCCTTTATTTCGTCGTAAGAAAAGTGGAGTTTGTTTTTTTTTTTTAAAAAAAAAAAGTAACACGCTTTATTTCGTCGTAAGAAAAGTGGAGTTTTTTTTTTTTTCAAAATAACATATAAAACATGTGTTTTCAAAACAAGATTCACTTTTAATTAGTTAGCATAAGAGATAATAAGTAGTATTTATTTATTTTAAAATAGCTTTTAAAAAAATTATTAAAATTGCCCCTCTATATTTCTATATTTTAAGAAGTTTTGGGTATCACTATTTTAATATTATACTTTTGTCGTGCTGCCTTGAAGATAAAAACTCAAGAAAAATAATCCTTATATGATGACTATTAAAATCTTATGCCTCGGGTAGTGAATGTTCGTTGGAAACATTTAATTTATATTAAAAAATCCAACCAGCTGGAATTCCTTTTAAAAAGAGAATTAACTGAAATGAGTTGAATCAAAGGAATTAAATAGATGAATTCTATTTGGTTTTGTTTTTGTTGAAACCGGATAAGTTTAAATTAATTGATTATGGATAATTTTGGTTTTTTTGTTTGATTTTTTATTTTTACAATTTAAAATCAAAATCAAAATCAAAACTGTACCAAACCAAACTAATTCTTTTTAAAAGAAATCTAACTACTTTTTCTCAGTTTCATTTCTCAATCAACATTTTAAATTAATTTTTGGTTATTTTTTATAGATAATTTTATAAGAATATATCAGGTCAATATTCTGGCTTCTCAAGTCAATTTGTATAAATATCATGTATACTTCAATTATTCTATGCTCACCTCTATCCATGCCTTCAGGTTGTTGCTTCTTCTTCTTTAAACTTCTTCCCTTGCACTCAAACCAAATTCCTCTCTGTCAGATTTTAAGCAAGCCTCTTGTTACTTATATTATTACTGCTACCAGCAACAATTCAGTTTTGTTTATTTAATTTATTTTTAAATTATTTTAATGTGTTGATATAAATTTTTAAAAAATAAAAAAAATATTTTTAATAAAAAATATTTAAAAAAATAATTATACTTTAATCATCTTCTAGTTATAGACTTGTAATGAAGTAAAAGAATAATGCATCATGTTCTTTTAAATTTTAAATTTTTTATTTAAATTTATTTTTAATAATTCTATATTATTTTAATGTATTGATATAAAAAATAACTTATAAAAAAATATTATTTTAATATATTTTTAAATTATAAAAATTTTAAACCACAGTAAGAATCCCAATCATACCTTCACGGGCCACAGTACAGTGGTTAGATCAGATCACCATGCAATCAATGCATGGTGGCTTGATTTTATCCTGTATGTATTGGATATAATATAACATTTATGAAGCAAAAACTTGGGCAGGCTACAATCGGTCCTCGTGGTCACATGCTGGGCTTACTTATTACTTATCTGGGATACTTTGTATGGCCTATACCACTGCCTGGGTCATGGATGGTACGAAGGAGCCTGAGCCTAAGAAAACAAGAACACATGCGACAATTTAAAGGTCACACCCGCCACCTCTGTGGTGTCTCAAGATAAAAGAAGTGTTTTTAACTGAGACAGGATTATATCTTGAGGTATGTTTTATTTAGAAATATATTAATATAATATTTTTTATTTTTTAAAAAATATTTTTTATATTCATACATTAAAATGATTAAAATGATCTGAAAATATTAAAAAATAATTTTAAATAAAAAATAAAAAATTTAAAATTTTAAAAAAATATAATTTTAACCGCGTTTTTAAATACCGTCAAAGAAAAGATTTCAATTCAGCTCAAAATGATGAGTTTGTTAAATCAACCCATCAATTAATAAATAAATCTATTATTTATTAAAAATAATTTATTATATATATATAAACATACTCTGAAGGCCATAATTCATCTACAACAGCTGTGGACAGGTAATCTGAACTTGCCGGCTCCTGTTTATCGCAGCAAAGGATAACATTTAAGTTCAGTACGCAAGGTGGTGACCACAAGCTCTATATGTACGTTGTCATTGTGTTTACTAGTAGACAGGCTAGAGGGTTTGAGATTTACTGTGTAAAACAAATTTTTTTCACATTTTCTTAACCAGACGACCTTCTTGGTGTGAAGCTTAAATATAATAATTATCGTCCACCTAGAAAGAGTTAAGACTCCAACCAAACTCGAGACATGAAACAACTAATCCTCATGGGATCATGCTCTTGTTTGTCAATAATACAGTTTAAAGCTCACACCTACATATCGACAATTAAGTCAAGACAAGAAAACAACGAAGCTTCCTTGCAGATTTTTGATCGTTGATAGGCTACGCCACATTGAAATATCAAGAACATGGCCACGAAGGATCTTACAAATTAAACGATACTCCTATGCCTTCGAAGTCTGAACCAAATGATTGATTGAATAATGTTAGCTGAAGCTGGTCACAGTTCGCTGATCTAGAACCTAGCTAGTACGAGCTGGTAAGTTTCATTTCGAATAGGTTTTCTTCCTATATAGTATCGTTTCTTTGGCAATATCGTTTCAATAAATAAATAAAATGGATCAATGCACCAACTTGTAGGTTGTCGTACACCCAGCGACTTGCCATGCACAGAGCTTTAAGGCTGGTTTTGAGTACAAGCTGTGCAATGACCTGCAATACTCTGTATAGTTTATACAGGATGCATGATTCGATCGGGTATGGTGGTGGAAGTTAGGAACTTGGCCTAAAGATGTCCGCGATCAATTTCTTTTTATAAAAAATGCGGAGTCGACTGTTGCTGTTATGCTGACGCTGCTTAGTATTCTCAAACATGGAATTCCAAAGACTGACTAAATCCCATTGTTCTACACATTAACATCCGGATAATATGGGTTTTCACTGGTTTTGTTCTACACATTAACATCCGGATAATATTGGTTTTCACTGGTTATTAGTCATTGTTTTTGTCAATTTAGCTTTTCAAAATAGCATTTTGATTGGAAATGCTCTTATTAGTCATTGTTTTTTAAAGTATTTTTTTTAATACATATAAAAGTACATCATTGCCTGCTCTGCTTTTTAGGTTACAAGATTTTGTAGCGATTTTTTCCCACTCATTTTTAATTTGTGCATTTTTTTTTGGGCCAAGGTGGGTATCCGTGTGCATGCATTCGTGACAACGAAAGTGGAATCCAATGCCACCTAGAATCCTTTCTCAGCTCTCACTTATCCACATCTGGCAAGAAACTGCCCTTCAAGGCAGGCAATTTGGCAGATGCTGCGCGCTTTGATATTTCCTTGAAATTCTGGTGACTCCTGGACTAGGCTTTGCCCAGATGATCCAAAACCTGCATGCATTTTGCTCCACCGTCTCTCTAATTCCATCGAAACCCACCAACATCAGATGTAAAAATAAATTGCTCGATGAACAGCAACATCGACTTCAGCAACCGTATGACAGTTTTACTTAGCAAAACCCAAATTTAAGTTGCAACAATACTCCCGTGCCAATTCCCATCAAGCAATGTAGAGAAATGGAAGGGAAAAAGGCATCGAGTCAATCAAGAAATTGACTGGTACTCCTCTGCTATTACTATTCTTGAACAGAACTCAAATGTGTGCGCATGCACACAGGCAGGCTTTAATTTAATTGCAGTGAGGAGATGACATCAAATTAATGTCTACCGGTTAAGCTTTTCCTACATACAAACACAACTACAAACTAACAGAGGTAAAAACTTTCAAGAAAAAATACAGGTCGGAGACCATGATTCAGGTGTTTACTTCCACGATTCATGAGCTTACTCGGAAAGCAGATTACTCACAAACTCTGCAATGTCTTGAGTCACAGTAAACCATCAATTTAAACTGTAGAGAAAAATGAACTTAACCCTTGCAAAAACTCCAGAGAACCCTTAAAAAATGAACTTAACCCTTGCAAAAACTCCAGAGAACCCTTAAAACTAAGGGCGGAAAATATGGGGATCAGTGGGACGTTGAAAATTAGCTTTCAAATACCAGAGAGAGATGCCAGGGCCCATCTATATCCGTTCCCTGTATCGCCCCACTTAACCCCTGCAAAAACTCCATTACAGAGACCGAGTTCACAGTATTGCTATCTAGACTATGGATACAATGGACAAGCAAGAGATCTGATCGGCGGCGGTTCGGCTAAAAAAGAACAGCCAAGTTAACAACAACATAACCTCATTGGTTATTATTAGATAATTTTGGTAAACCACCAGCTCATAGACAGTGGATCAATAATTAAACAATAAGCAATTAGCCTAAATCCACACCATGATGCTTCTTTCATGTAAAATCAATACAGTGTATCTATGATCTTTGATATATACAAGCGAGAGAAAAGAATACCTTCAAGTAACCCCATTTTGCATCATCTAATCCCGCGAGCTCAAGCCCCTTTCCATCTCGTGACAGTGGAAACGGATGGTATATATCACCAAATTCTCATAGTTCTTCACTGTATTGTTCTCGTAAGCTTACACTCAGAAATGACAATGGTTGATGTGTAATTTAGACTACACAATTTCAATAGTTCAACCGACTGCTGCTTCAACTCAGGATTGCAACCGCTCTGTATTACAAGTAGTAGTTTGGCTGCCAAACCCGCCTCCACAGCGAGTGCAGTACATTCTTCTGGTGCGAGCATGCAAACAGCCCATAATATTGACAATGCAAGCTGCATGCAAGCCTCCGAAACCCTCATCAATAACTTGACCACGTTCGGTATTGTGCTGGCACAACCCTTCAGAGCCAATCTTCCCTCGGGAATACTTGAAAGAACCTCCAGAATATAAAGTGCTAATTCCAAGCACTCACTATTCAAACTTGGCAAAAGCTCCACCAATGGAGGAACTGTCCCAATGCTCACAACTGAGCCCCTAACTGATTCATGTGAACAAATACTCTTTAACAAACCAAGTCCAGCCAATAACCCATTTGGGTGCCTCTTGTCTTTCACCAACCTCAACAGACCAACTAAAAGACTCAGGCTTGACAAGTTTTCATTCTCAAAATCACTCCCTTCCATCAACATTTCTATCAATCGGGTACAATTGATCTTGGTCTCAATAGAACCCTCATTCAACATATCCACCATTAAAGAAATCTTCGCAGGTTGCCTCAAATTCGACTTGGATGCAAAATCAATATCCAAATTCACGAGAATTCCAACTGCTTCAGACCCAACGGCATGAGTTGTAAAGGGGCCCAATAAAGAAGACACCAAGGCAGTCCCACCATTATCCAGCACAGCCTTCCGTGCCGTAGAATGTGCGGCAACAACCTGCCTAAGTTCCTTCAAAGTTTGCACTCTAGCTTGACCCTTAACTTTCTTCAGATTTTCCAGAAGCTCAATAGCCCTTCCTTGCACATCCTCTGATCTCTTCTTCATAGCCAAGAACTTCTGCGAGAACCAGCTATAAATCAGATGCTGCATAGTCCTGTTCGGCGTCACCGTATCATCCCAGAGCTCTTGCATTGTAGTGGGGCACGTGCAATGACCTAGGGAGAACCATTTGAGAATGTTAGATCTCTCGTAAGTCTGTCCAGTGCAAAGCGTCACCGGGTCTTCCATTGGGTCCAGCGAAATTGGACATATAAACACTGACGGTACTTCTATTGATTCAAGCTCTTCAATCATCTTCTTCAGATCCAATTTCTCCGCCACGCCAGCACTAACTAAAACACCACCGCCAACACCGTCCAAAACACCATCCTTAACGGCGGTTTCTAGATCTAGAACTTGCCCTCCAACGCCCACATCTAGCTTTACATTTATATAGCCATTTGGCTTATACATCGGCATTTTTCGCAAAGAAAAACACTAACCACAATCCACCAAGAAGAGAAAATAAATCCAATCCAACAAAAGGCCCTAAGATGTCAAAGGAGAAGGCAAGGACTAATTAAAACATTAAGACCCATCACGTCCACGAGACAAGAAACGTGTGGGGAAGAAAAGGAGAAAAGGGATATTTGGCATAAGGCATCTCTCTTTATCTCTTTCTATCTCTCATTGACATGCACAAGGAAGAGTGACTATCAAAGGGGACAAATTTTCAACATTGTATGCTTTACCTTTGCCCTTTATCTGATCTCTTTCTCTAGTTAATACAGTCAAAGAGACATTCTTCCTCGTCATCATCAAAGACATGATGAACATATTATCTTCTTCTCTAACACTCAAGCTTTCTCATTCAACTCGCTGAGAACATCCCCTTGAAGCTGAAAAGCATAAAAAAAAATAAAAGCGAAAACTTCAACAGCCCATCAAGTACCTGAAGAGCTCAACAGAAAGTGAGTGTTGAAAAGCGAAATTATAACACTAAAGACATGGAAGAATGGGAAAACCAGGAACCATACCTAACTACAGTGTAGCGATACAGGGTAGAAGAGTGTGGAGATGGGAAGGAGAAATGTAAATAAATAAAAAAGAAGTGAAAGGGTAGAATAGTAGCATATATCTTGAGCAGACAGTCTACTCCAGTCTGTGATGCTGATGCTGCTGCTGCTGCTGCTGCTGTGTAGGGCAGGTAACAAGAGTATGAAATTATCAAGCACCCTTGAAATTTTCGCTAATGTGGGTCACCACTCACTCAAAAATCGAAGCTCGAAAGTAGTAAATTCGAACACATACAGTGCACACACAATCCACTTTACTATTTGAAAAGGCATCCGTATTGCTAGATTAATATGAAATTCACGAGTCATCAGATAAAATGTTGATGTTACGATAATATATTTTATAGCTTAGCGTCTGTTTATCTAACGTTATTTGCTGTGTTTTAGGTTAAACAAACATTATTTTTTTATTTTTTTAACTTTAAATGTAGATAAATATAAATAGACGAATTTTTAATTTATGATTTGATTTGAATTAGAATTTATATAATCGGTAATCTTGGTTTTATGCATGTAGGTTTGGTATTAGCGATAGTTTTTTCATTTCGTAGTATTTTAAATTTAAAAAATACTAAATTAATATTTTTTAAAAATTTATGGTTTTGATATATAAGTGATAATAAATTAAAAAAACGTAATTTTATATATTTTAATCAAAAATATTTCTAAAAAATATCATGCATGGTATTACTAAATTCTTGCTTCATGTATCAGTCTTTTAATAAATATTTTGTATTGTGATGCAAATTATTTTAAAAAAATATATATTAAAATATTTTTTTATTATTATTATTTACATTGACAAGTTAATATTATATATAAAAAATATTAATTTAATATTTTTTATGTAAAACTTATTTTTAGAATAAATAATTAAGCTAACACTGATTTAACCCGGGTTTAATAAGATTTTCTAGACAATTCTTGAAATTGCGGTCCCGCCCTTGTTTGGATGCATATATCCTTTTTATATTATATCAACAACAAGTATACATAACAACCATCTAGATGGTGATCAAGTGATAAAAACTTGAGATCAAGAGGTTTGTTTTTTCTATATTCTCAGGTTTGAATTCTTAATTGTTAATATGATGACTACTAAATACTTACATGGTTATTAATTTCAGAACTTATGAAATTAATCATAATATACGCAACTTAAACACCTATATTAAATTAAAAAAAAAAAGCATATATCACACCAAAACTCAAAACTTGTCGTGGGTTATATTTTTTTAATATAAAATAAAAATTTTGAAATATTTTTACTTTATGCTTTGCATCATTATTATTTAATTATATCCTTTGTTATTAAAAACAATATTTGGAAGGGGAAAGAAGAGCAGTCAAATCCACGAGATAAGGAACGTGTGGGGAGAGGAAAAAGAGAAAGGGCATAAAGATAGGGTCTGTGGTCAAAACAGTAAGTCTATCCCATCATGATCACATCAGCTGTATAATCTTGGAATTTCCAAAGTGGTGAGTGAAATAACTTCTTTTAAAGCTCAAATAAAAAGTGTGAAATCATCAACTACCTAAAGAACAATCAAACCCGATTCAAAAGGAGAAGGAACGGTGACCCCACGGCTCGAATTCACCTCGAATTAATATGAGGCTCTGGTGTTACGTTAAAGGCTGAGTTTTCTAGAAAATATGAGGCTCTGGTGTTACGTTAAAGGCTGTGTTTTCTAGAAAATATATTTATTTATTTAAAAATATATTAAAATAATTTTTATTTTCAATAGGACGCATCAAAATTATAAAAAAATTAAAAATGTATATTAATTTAATATTTTTAAAAGGTAAATATACAATTAAAAACATACTCAAACACAATTTCAAATGAAAATATAAATAGCTTTAAAAACAGAAATTACTGCTCTTCGAAACCCGGTTGTAGAACACAAAATCTGGACACCAACTTCCCAAAGCTCCATTTGTTTATGTTTTTTTTTTTTTTTTTGTGTGGAATGATATGGTGTAATCTATGTCTTGCTATAATTATAGATTTGAAAGTATAAATTTAATTGGAAAGTCTTGCTCCAAACCTTAATTGAAAAAATATATATAATTTATAAAAAATTTCAAATTTATTTTTTCAAATTGTAATCACAAAAATTAACACAACGCCTAACCCACATCACATTACTGGTTTTATAGCACTAGGGTAAAGAAAGAGAGATTATGAAAAAGGCTATCACTGAAAAAACTAGAAGAGAATAAGATGCAGTGTACCTTCCTTGTAAATTAATTATTACTCGTTATAAATAATATTTTATTTTTGTTTTTTTATTTTTTAATATTATATTTATTTATTGGATTCTCATATTTTTATGATACAAATCCTGATTTTGACAAATTAGTTTGAATTATTTCTTTTTAAATTTCATCATTTAAAATTAAATTTAGTAAAACTTAAACTATGTAATTTGTCTCTCTTAATTTCTATTAGGTTATCTATAACTCTTAACTCGAGCACAAAGTTTAACAAGTTAATATAGATTGTTTCAAATTATTTTTATTAATTTTTTAATTTAGTTCAATTTATGAATTAAAAAATTAATTACATCTTAATAAAATAATAATATTTCACTTTTTTTTTATGGGTGCTAGCTCGACCTAAAAGCAACAAAGTTGCTAAAAACTTAGCTGGTCGACTTAGTTTTTACGAGTTATTATGTTGTTTAATTTAATAAAAAATCTAATAATACTATAAATATCTTAAATTTTACGAGTTTTAGATATAGATGCGAATATAGTAATAATTATAGTTTAAAGTATTTTTTTAAATATATTAAGATAATATTTTTTAAAATTATTTTTAATATCAACATATTAAAATAATATAATAAAAAATCTAATAATACTATAAATATCTTAAATTTTATGAGTTTTAGATATAGATGTGAATATAGTAATAATTATAATTTAAAGTATTTTTTTTAAATATATTAAGATAATATTTTTTAAAATTATTTTTAATATCAACATATTAAAATAATATAATAAAAAATCTAATAATACTATAAATATCTTAAATTTTATGAGTTTCATGTATACATATAAGTATAGTAATAATTGTAGTTTAAAGTATTTTTTATTAAAAATATATGAAGATAATATTTTTTAAAATTTTTAAAAATTATTTTTAATATCAATATATTAAAATAATATAAATATATAAAAAATAATTTTAAATAAAAAAATTAAATTTTTAAAAAACACAATTTCAAATCCATTTCCAAAAACTGCATCGTCCGCCAGTTTGACTACAGTTAGCAACAATGTATCCCATGCTCTTCTCTCGGGACAGGCAGTGTAATCAGGCCATTGATGGAGACCTATAAAAATGTGTGAAATGGAATGATTCATGTATTAGTCACTGAGATGCCTGGTTTTTATCTATTTATTTAGTACTTGGCGAGAAGAGAGGAAAGAGATCAGTGAGAGTGACCGGATATCGCTTGCGATGCAAACCATCGGCAACTGTGCACCGCACGTGCAGTCGTATCGTCAGCCACCTCGATTTCCAGTTTCTGGATCAAGGAAATTCAAAGAAAACGAGCCCTGCCACTTTTTTAATCTCTCGGGGAGAGGGTCTGCTTGGAACCGTGCCCATCGGTTTAAAAATGCATTGGAAAATATAACCACAGTAAATCAACCCAAGAGGGAGAGGATAAAGATGCGAACAAGCAAAAAACCGACGAAATTAGACGCATAAATTATAGTGTTGTTGAATTTCTTAAGTTATAAATCAATCATGTGCTTGACTGAACTGACTGGTAAGAGAACTTTGCATTATTAAAAGAGATATGATATCAAATTTATCGATTTTTCACATCAAAATAGAATTAATGGAGGAGCATAATCATTGTTTATAATCCATTTATTGCTACTGCGATTCTTAATAATGAGCTGTAATTATCATTGATTAAAACTTTATTGATTATTTGGTAATTTCAATCTCATGGGGTCCATCTACGGTGAGTTATCTGTATAGAAAATTATAATAAAAAACCATATTTAATGTTTTTTTCCAAATATTTCATGGCTCTTTAGAATTAAAGTTACTAAAATTGTTGACTCACGATTCAGTAAATATTAGTTATTTTAAAATGATGTTGTTAAAATTATTTCAAGATTTAAAAATACTGCTTTATTTTCTTATGTGAAATCAGATTCTGATCGGATTAAAAAAATTATAAATTAACTTATTAAACTATTCAGATTTAACTAAATTAATTTTCATTTATTTTTTTGAACCCAACCCGAACCCCATGCCGAGAGAGGTCTGCTTAGAATAATTTATTAAATAGTATTAATTTCTGTAAGAAAAAAATACAGGGAACTGGAAGTCTCGTGGGGGGCGGGGCCCACTGAGAGTGCCAGCTCAACTTTTAACAGGTTATCCTGTCATCCTGTGTCTTGACCATATACGGAAGCCTTTGCGGTCTCTTGCTTGACCACTTTTGCTTGCTTTTTTGGGCTCAATCGACCATGACACGTGGCCCATGGGAATCGTGCGTCCTCTCTCTTCGTGCCATCCTCTGCGTCGCAGTTAATTATTGTTTGTTTACCGAAATATTTAAACTTAATCTAAAATAATTGTTAATGTAAGCAGCAGCTGTAGCAGTGGAGCTGTGGAAGAATTGTCTAGTAGAGATTTGACCAATATTCTTTTGAGACAGTATACAGGTTGTCTTCTCTGTCATTGCCCGCGCCCTTTTCCTTCCCCATCTTTATTAATTAATGGATCATAAATTAGAGCTAAATTATTGTTCCCAAATATTACATCATATTCAGCTTAGTCATTAAACCCAACCAAATAATCAATTTAATTGAATAAATTTATATATTTTTTTTAAAAATTAAAATAATATCTTTTTAAAAAAATAATAGATTTTGATTAAATTAATCAAACTATAAGTGATTCTACGTTTTTTATTAGATCAACTTTCCTTGTGTTTTTGTTTTTTTTTTAAAAAAAAACCTAGTGCAGACCAGGTATTGGATTAACTTCCAAAGTTAGGTCAAGTTTATTGACAATGATATTTAATGTTATAATAATTGTTTTTTTAAAATATTTTTTGTTTAAAAATTTATTAAAATAATATATTTTTAAAAAAAAATTATTTTTGATAATAGCATATTAAAAAAATAGAAAATTATGTTTAAAATATTTTTTTGTTTAAAAATTTATTAAAATAATATTTTT